CTGTTGCTTTGAAAGTAAAATGATGTTGGGCACCCCTCAAAATCCATACCAGACTCTTATGCAGGCACGAAGCCTGGCTGGGGGGAGGAAGGGGGGGGGGAGGGGGGAGGAGCAGTGAGCATTCTTAAACACTCTCTTAACCATAACAGTACCCATTCCTCAGGAGGGGACCTTGTAGGAAGTATGCAATGGCCACTTCAATACTGGGCACTTTTACCCCCTTCCTGCCCGGGCCAATTTTCAGCTTTCAGTGTTGTCACATTTTGAATAATAATTGTGCGGTGCTATAACACTATAGCTATAAAAAAATTGTATATTTTTTTTCACACAAATAGAGCTTTCTTTTGGTTGTATTTAATCACTACTGTTTTTTATTTTTTGCTAAATAAAAAAAAAAAAACCCAGAAACTTAAAAAAAAAAGTGTTTTTCTTAGTTTCTCCTATACAATTATGCAAATAAATAACCTTTCTTCATAAATTTAGGTAAAAATGTATTATGCTACATTTCTTTGGTGAAATACCCCATAATAGTGTAAATTATTTATTCTGTAGGAAAGTTATAGAGTCCACAAACCACGGTATATATATATCTGACAATCGATCAATCCTGATGTTCTGACGGCCCATTTAATTTCTTGAGGCCCGAAAACACCAGGATAGTGCAAATACCCCCCAAATGACCAATTTTTGGAAAATAGACAGTTCAAGGTATTAAGTAAGAGGCACGGTGAGTTTTTTGGAGGTTGTAACAATTTTTTGGAAAATGTAGAAATTATTTTTTTTTTACATATTGTCACCAGTCCAGTGTTATTATATTATGGGTGTGGCAGTGATCAGGGACACTGACTGGTGACAGTATGTAAAAAAACAATAAGAAAAAATATAATTTAATTTTTTTTTTCATTTTTTTATATATTTTTTTAAATTACATTATTTATTTTTTTTACCCCCCCCACTATTTTGTTTTCGACACACTGTGACCAAAGCAATACAATGTTACCATAGTAACGCTGAACTACTCTGGGCAAGTGATCTGGATTTTTTCTTTTTTTTTTTTTTTATACACATTATGATTGCTAATACCAATGTATTTCATTGATATTTGCAATCATTGTTACTGGATGAAACTGATTCATTCAGTTTTTTGTTGTGATTAGCTGTGATTGGGCAAAGCTCATCACATGACACAGATGGGCTGTGATTGGTCATGTCTGTACCATGTGACTGCTTTGACCAATCACACTTAACAACACAATTGTATACAATGGATGGCATGACAGGAAGCCATCCATTGTGTACAATTGACATGTGATCTGCTGTGACTGGTCACAGCAATCACATGACACTGGCAACAGGCCACTGTAGTGATATGTCATCGACTGTGTCCCGTGGACAGATCGTGGCCAAATGAGTGGCTCCTTCTGACAGGAGGTCATATGATGCCTAGTCAGAAGGAATGTCCCACCCGGCCTTCAATCTGTTATAGTCCAGGAGGGAAGGTGTTAAGATAATTACCTCATCCAATGGTGTAGATCCAGTGTCATCAACATGAGAATGCTGTCTTGAAGTTACTCCCAGCTGCTATGGTAATACAAACAAAGCAGTCAAGGATACATGTCTCTTAAGGCATTCCCAAAGTAGTTTATTTATGCATTTTTAATGTTGCCCTTTAGGCCATATTAAAAGACCCGCTCCCCACTTAAAAATATATTTTTTATGATACTACCTCATTTTTCAAAAAAGCAGTTCACCCAAAAGTAGTATGTCAGTTATGGATGGAATCTGGTGGGCATCCACTTACTTCTTATATCCTTTAGGGGTTCTAACAGCAGAAAGCCTTAAAGTGGTTCTAAAAGCTGCAGTTTTTTTACCTGAATGCATTCTCTGTATTAGAGTGTTGTAAACCTCAGAACAAAGCATATCCCTCTACAGTGTGTACTTGACTCAATTAAGAGCACTACTTGTCATTTCTCTTTGCCGTTTTGTTCTGCTGCTATCAGCATGAATCACTTCTGACAAAGTTTTTCTGACACCAAGAAAAAAAAAATGACGAGAGGGAGCTCCAGCTTACCAACAGTCTCAATTCTATTCCTGTGAGCTGTGTGAAGGGGGGGGGGGTGTCTCTTCCCTCCAATCAGCTCTCAGAGCTCCCCTCACTGAGAACTGCAAAGTGTTACTGCAACTCTCAGCCCCCTTCTTCTGATAGCTCAGACAATATTTATAAATTCTGGACTTTGTACGAATGTAGACAAGAGAAGACTACAGATAAACAGGTACAACTTATGTAGGAGGATTTGTTTAATCTATGTGTATCACCTAAGGCCAGTCACTTCACTGGGTATATATAAGGGTTTAAAACCACTTTAATGTAAACAACCCTCTGAGTGAAGCTCCCCCAGCCCCCCCTTATACTTACCTAAACCTGGTTTCATTCCAGTGCTGTGCACGAGAGCAGCTACCCTCATCTCTCTGCCTCCACATAGGCTGAGAGACAGCAGTTGAAGCCATTGACTCCCACTGCTGTCAATCATAGCCAGTGAAGGGGGAGTGGGGGCAGGGCCAAACTGCAGTCTGTGTATCTATGGACACACACAGCTGGCTCAAGAGTGAGCCTGCTACAGTGCCCCCATAGCAGGTGGCTTGTGATGGTGAGTGCTAAGGGAAGGAGAAGGAGCCAGGAGCACTGGTGGGGGTTCTGAGAAGAGGAGGATCAGGGTTTCTATGTGCAAAATCATTGCACAGAGCAGGTAAGTATGATATGTTTGTTATTAAAAAAATATATATGGATTTACAATCACATTAAGCCACTGCCTTGAAATTAGCAGAAGGGTTTTCACCCTGCCATGGGTACTCCTTCAATTGGCTATTTGATTGCCTGTAAGGTTTGTCAGATAGGCAGTCTAATAAACATCTGCAAAGTTACTGGTATCATAATGCAATGGCTCAGTATTGCTAGGAATTGCTTTTAGTGTCAGGATTTCCAGGTAAGAAGCTTTGCAACAGATTCACAACAAAAACTTACTTAAGATAACTGTATATGATAAGACATGATTCCAAATATACCAAAAAGTAGATTTAGGGCACTTAAAGTGAGATTTTAATTTTAGCAAATATTCCCTAAAAGATTAATTCTTACTTTGTTTAACTGCTTTCCCACTGCCCTATAGCAGATATACTGCTACAGGGCGACAGGGTGCACAAAATCATGTGTATATACTTGATTTCATATTTCTGGGTAGGGGGAGTGCACTATTCATGGCCTTGGCTGTCAATCACCAGGTCCCGGCCGGTGATTACTCGCCGACACCCGATAATCGCCAAGCATTACTGATGGGGGGGGGCGGCAGAGAACAGAGAACTGTATGTAAACAATACAGTTCTCTCCCCTGTCTTCTCATGCACATTGCTTTGTATGGCTCTGCATAGCAGAGTCATACGAAGCAGTGTGCTTACAGTTGAAAGCACACAGACAGCTTACAGTAAAACAGCACACGATTAACCCTTTGATCGTCCCACATGTTAACCCCTTCCTGCCCAGTGCCGTTAGTACAGTGTCAGTGCTTTTTATTAGCACTTATTACAGTATTGGTGTCACTGGGTATGTCAATGACACCAAGTCAGTTCCCCCCCAGTGTCAGAGTGCCTGCGGCAGTCCCGCAGCCCCTCTATCAGTTGCTGATTGCCGCCATTACTAGTGAAAAAAATACCAGTATATACAGTAGATGCTATAGCTTTTATGTAAACCAATTAATTTACACGTATTGGGATTTTGTTTTTAGCAAAGACATGTAGCTGAATACATTTTGGCCTAACTTTATGATGAAATTAGATTTTTTTAAATTTTTTTACTGGACATGTTTAATAGCAAAAAAGTCAAAAATATAGTTTTTTTTCTCAAAATTGTCTATTTCTTTTTTATAGCGCAAATAATAAAAAACACACAGGCAATAAAATACCTCCAAAAAAGCTCTATTCATGGACAAAAAGGACACAGATTTCATTTGGGTGCAGTGCAGCATGAGCACGAAATTGTTAGTTAAAGTAACGCAGTACCGTAATGCAAAAAACTGCCTTGTCAGTAAGGGATGTAAATCCTCAGGAGCAAAAGTGGTTAAAAATAAATCTACATAGTTGCAATACATATCTTTTTTTCTAATTTAGTGTGAATAAAAATGACTCTTCTATTTCAGTCTGCAGTCAGCTTTGATTTTCTAAAAAAATACAAAAGGTTCCCAGCACACTTTCAAGCTTGCCAGCAGGGATGGGCTCAGGCGGGTTCGGACACATGTCTAAACCCTTCTGAGCTATCCAACCAGAGAGCTATCAATACAGACAGAGAATCATAGGCAGTGGAGGCATTTCCTGCCCCATAACCACACAAATACATACCCTGCACCCATTGTATATTTGTGACTGCTGGGTGAACATACCTGAGCTCAACCCTACTCGCCAGCAAGAAAGTCTAAGTATGCTCCCAGGGATGAATGCCTGAAATGCAGACTGCATTTTGGACATTTGTACATGAGCATGCACACTGCCCTAAACGTGCATGCTGCTAGGTGCACCACCCATCCCAATCCAGCTGCAGCAGCAAGGCTAGGTGGGGCACTGTCCCCTCCCTCCACAGATAAATACCTGCGCTTCATGCACTAGGGCTAAGTACCCAGTGTGCATGAAGGGTACTGAAGGGGAAGGCGTGGGTAGGGAACGTGCGCACATGCCCCCTACCCAGAAATGCAATTACTTATACTGTATATACATGATTTTGCGCATCCTGCTGCCCTGTAGCAGTACTTCTGCTATATGACAGTCGGGAAGCGGTTTAACCACCTCCTGTCCGCCGTATAGTACAATGACGGGCGCAAGGTGGTTCTCTCGTTCTGGAGCGACGTCAAATGACATTGTTCCATTCTAACCGCGCATGCTCGGCTCCGGGACACAGCGGATCACTGATCAATGGAAAGAGCCGAAGATGTCGGCTCGGTCATGTGATCAGCTGTGTCCAATCACAGCTGATCTCATGTAAATAGGGAAATGTCAGTTATTGGCATTTCTCTCCTCATGAGCTGTCACGCTGACAGCTCGAGAGGAGAGGAGAGCCGGTAATCAGCATCCCTCAAAGGGTACATGTGCACTGATCATCAGGGTACTGATGATCAGTGTGCCCTGATGATTTGTATAGCCCCAGCAGTGCCACCTGTCAGTGTCCATCAGTGCCAGCTGTCAGTGCTCATCCATGCCACCTGCCAGTGCCCATCAGTGCCACATCAATGCCACATATCAGTGCCTACCAGTGCACATCAATGCCACATATCAGTGCCCATCTGAGCTGCCTTTCAGTGTCACCCTTCAGTACCAGTCAGTATCACCTATCAATGCCAGTCAGTGCCACCTATCAGTGCCAGTCAGTGCCGCCTATCAGTGCCAGTCAGTGCCGCCTATCAGTGTGCATCAGTTCCGCCTATCAGTCCCGCCTATCAGTGCCAGTCAGTACCGCCTATCAGTGCCAGTCAGTGCCGCCTATCAGTTCTGCCAGTCAGTGCCGCCTATCAGTGCCATATATGAGTGCTGCCTTTCAGTGCCCATCAGTGATGCCTGTCAATGCCCATCAGTGCCACCTACCAGTGCCTCCTCATCAGTACCCATCAGTGCCACCTATCAGTGTCCATCAGTGCAGCCTATCAGTGCCCATCACTGCAGCCTCATTAACGCGCATCAGTGAAGGAGAAAAATCACTTATTTACAAAATTGTATAACAAAAACTAAGTAAAAAAAACTTTTTTTTTCAAAATTTTCAGTGGTTTTTGGTTTGTTTAAGAAAAAATAGAAAACCCAGAGGTGATTAATTACCACCAAAAGAAGGCTCTATCTTTCTCAAAAAAATTATAAAACTTTCATATGGGTACAGTGTTGCATGACTGCGCAATTGTCATTCAAAGTATGATAGCGCTGAAAGCTGAAAATTGGCCTGGGCAGGAAGGGGGTATAAGTTCCGGTAGGCTAGTGGTTAAGTGAAACTAAAGACACTCCCTGGGTGCCGGTCTTCAGGCAACTCTATTGGCTTGAGTGGTATGAAGTTTCTCCTACATTTCCACAGGGGTGAGTCATCCCTACACACAAACAATGCTGGCTATGTAAGCTGAGCTGCGTGTATTTTTTCTGCAATATTAGCCTGGTTGTTTGTAGTCTTTTGTTACATGCCTTCAGTTCTGCTTACTGTAGATTTTTGTTGAATTTGCAAATACATGTTGAAGCCACACTGTTATTTCCAGGCATCTCTAAGTTCCCAACTATAGGACAGCTATAGAAAAAAACATAAATGCACAGGTGAGGACAGACTCACCTGAAGGCATCCCTTTCCCCTTTTAGGAACAGTAACACACCAGAAGCCCCAACATCACCTTTGATTAGAAGATGAAGTATGTGTTTGCTTTAAACATATGTGTAACGGAAGCGTAGGCAGGACAGAGCACATGGAGAAGGTGGGGAACACACAAAACTTTATTAAAGCAACAAAATGACAGACACTCAATGGGGAAATGGCAGGGAGGGTGATGTGTGCGCAAACCAGGGACGATTTCAGGCACGGGGGGTCTTCGGCGACAGGCAGGCAATCTTTCCCCTAGGCTTGGGGCCTCAGCCGAGCTCCCTCCATGACTGGACAGCGGATTGGAGTCTCGGGCAACAGGCGGGCAACCTACCCCTGGACAGGGGTCTCGAGCAAAAGGCAGGCAATATCCCCCCTAGGCTTGGGGACTCAGCCGAGCTCCCTCCATGACTGGACAGCGGATTGGAGTCTTGGGCAACAGGTGGGCATCCTACCCCTGGGCAGGGGTGTCGGGCACAAGGCAGGCAATCTCCCTCCTAGGCTTGGGGCCTCAGCCGAGCTCCCACAGTGACTGGACAGCGGTTTGGAGTCTCGGGCAACAGGCGGGCAACCCACCCCTGGGCAGGGGTCTCGGGCAACAGGCAGGCAATCTCCCCCCTAGGCTTGGGGACTCAGCCGAACTCCCTCCGTGACAGGACAGCGGATTGGAGTCTCGGGCAACAGGCAGGCAATCTCCCCCCTAGGCTTGGGGACTCAGCCGAACTCCCTCCGTGACAGGACAGCGGATTGGAGTCTCGGGCAACAGGCAGGCAATCTCCCCCCTAGGCTTGGGGACTCAGCCGAGCTCCCTCCATGACTGGACGGCGGATTGGAGTCTTGGGCAACAGGCAGACAACCTACCCCTGGGCAGGGGTCCCAGGGACCCAAAGGGACTCCAGCTGCGGAGCCCGGCCCCAGCACAGCTCCAGCTTAGCCCCCCAGGGACACTGGGTCCACGGGGACACAACTGGCAGCGATGGCCCAAGCACCCAGGGGCACCACAGGCAGCCACACTCCGGGCACGCCACGGGGCGGTTCATGCAAGGGCAGTCCAGGCGTGCAGCAGGGCAGTGCACAACCCAGGTGGTCTGCGCGCACAACAAGGCCAGCCCAGGACACGGGTGGTCAGTGCACACAGCAGGGACATTTCAGAACACGGGTGGTCGGTACACACAGCGGGGACAGCTCAGGACATGGGTGGTCGGTGCACACAGCGGGGACAGTTCAGGATACGAGTGGTCGGTGCACACAGCAGGGACAGTTCTGGACACGAGTGGTCGGTGCACACCCCGGGGGCAGTTCAGAACACGGGTGGTCGGTGCACACAGCAGACACAGTCCAGGACACAGGTGGTTAGTGCGCACAACAGGGACAGCTCAGGACACGGGTGTCGTCGGTGCACACAGCGGGGACAGTTCAGGACACGGGTAGTCGGTGCACACAGCAGACACAGTTCAGGACACAGGCGGTTAGTGCGCACAACAGGGACAGTTCAGGACACGGGTGGTAGGTGCACACAGCGGGACATTTCATAACACGGGTGGTCGGTGCACACACCGGGGAAAGTTCAGAAAACGGGTGGTCGGTGCACACAGCGGGACAGTTCAGAACACGGGTGGTCGGTGCACACAGCAGACACAGTTCAGGGCACAGGTGGTCAGTGCGCACAACAGGGACAGTTCAGGACACAGGTGGTCGGTGCACACAGCGAGACACAGTTCAGGGCACAGGTGGTCAGTGCGTACAACAGGGACAGTTCAGGACACTCACGGTAAGCAGCTTGCAGACCCTCAGCAGCAGGCGGCTCCAGACAGGAACGACCAGCGGTCAGCGTTCCAGGGACAACCAGCGACCAGCAGACAGCAGCAGCTCCCCGGGCACTCAACAGCGGACGGCCTTCAGGGACACGCAGCCACAGACAGTGTGCAGGGTCCCTCAGCAGCAGCTCCCAGGGCACTCAGCAGCAGACAACCTCCAGGGACACGCAGCCACGGACAGTGTACAGGGTCCCCCAGCAGCAGCTCCCACGGCACTCAGCAGCAGACAGCCCCCAGGGACACGCAGCCACGGACAGCGTGCAGGGTCCCTCAGCAGCAGCTCCCAGGGCACTCATCAGCAAACAACCTCCAGGGACATGCAGCCATGGATAGTGTGCAGGGTCCCTCAGCAGCAGCTCCCAGGGCACTCAGCAGCAGACAACCTCCAGGGATACGCAGCCACGGATAGTGTGCAGGGTCCCTCAGCAGCAGCTCTCAGGGCACTCAGCAGAGAAGGCTCATGCAGAGCTGCGGAGACTCCCAACCCCGGGGCACGGCAGAGGGCCACAGTCCCGACTTCTCTCGGGGGTCTGCAGAGTGCGCAGAGGGGACAGCCGGGGAGGTCCGGTCCCCCCCCACCCAAGCCCCCCAGCATCTCCCCGGGAGCAAGACGACCCCAGCAGCATGGACAGGAACAAAGAGAGGAGGGCTGCTTCCTGTGCGAGACTTTTGAAAACCAAGTGGGACGCGGCTAGGTTGCCTCGGCAACGGCTGGCCCAGCATTGTCCATGGAAGCTCCCCAGACATCAGAATGTGCCAGGGGGAAGGGAGGGGTGGAGGGATATGGTGGGGGATGGGAGAGGCACTGGCAGTCCGTGACAATATGTTAGGCTGCAATGGCAGCTTCTCTGACATTTGAAACGAGCGAAAAAAAAGTGAAAAGGTTCACATGGGCAAGGTGATACATAAAACAATACAAAATGCTGATATTCTAAAACCAGAAAAAAAAAAATCAAACATTGATTCCTTGTATGTGAATAAAGTACAGAATTGTACAAAATTCCTATTACAGCACTGTGATTAATTATGGAACTTACCATTAAGGATGTAAGAAGTGTCCAAGAGAGAATAACTGAGTGTAAGCCACATGTGAAGTTAAATAGAAAGAGTAACAGATAGGACCATTATGATTGCTAAAATCCATGCAATGCCTGTAACTGACCAGGTGAAGAGTTGCAATTTAACATTGGTTGTTTTTTTTAGTAGCCACTTACAGTTAGCCAGAGTAGTTTTAGCTTTAGCAGTATCATATTGGGACTGCTTCTGAAATATTATATAAAATTCAATAACAGTAGCCAAAAACATTGTATTTTTCCACTATTTTTATATCCTCTAGTCACTGAATTGTAACTTAGTACTGGAAGCCCATCTCTCAGGTCCATAAAGTTGGTTAAAATAAATTCATATCAACAGTTTAATGTCAGCTCAATGACAGACAAGAGGATGCATTGTTATTTTTAGGCCTTTAATTCAGTAGGCTCGGTTCCCAGATCAGAAAAATAAATGCAGCCTAAAACAGAAATGACTGCTTGCCCTGAGGTCATAGACATTCTCTAAGCTACATGCATGCATTCATACTATTCATTTCTACCTTATTAGAATATGTAATGTCACATTATTTCTCACTTTCAGCCTAGAAAAACTACATGTTTGTTCCTTGAAATGTGACAGTGGTGTACCATCATTTCAGGAAAATGATAAGGAAAGATACAAGCTGACATATAGCATATGTAAAAGAATTGTGATGGAAAGTGCCTTGCCACGGAGGTTTACTATACGTTTTCTTTCTTTCTGTCATAAAATACTGTATTTGCTTTGACTAACAAACAATATATTGGATATTACCTGAAGCTGCAAATTTTTGTATATAAACTTTAAAGTCCAACCTTCAATTTATATCAGCATTTAGAGGGTTGGGGCAAACCATGTTACACCAGTGGAAGTGCTTACAATGTTCTTTTCATATGGCTTAAACCTTTTTCTATAAAAAAAAGAAAAAATGTTACTCTAACAGCTTAAAGTATTTTAGCTGGAGCTTACCTTAAAAACATGGAAAATTCAGTTTAAGATTAGCAAATACATTCCAGGTACATCAAAACAAAAAGTACTCAAAGTCTTTTAGTTTATTTTCTTTAGAAAGAAGCTGCAGCCAGAGTAAATAAGCCTGTCTCTTGTTAGAATTCTGCAGAGAAGGACTAGTGCGCTTTGTGTGAAAGCAGTGGTCTCTCTAAAGAGGTCCACCATGCCCCATGTAGAGTTAGAGCTACAGTTCTCCAATTGGGAGGCAGCAGCATGGACAGGTGGACTTTACATATGTTATATTGTTTATATAAACATTTATAAAAATAAATATATACTGTATATAAATAATTAAAACATTAATAGATCAACCCAATGGAGATATGAACATTACCCAATAGACTCTGCAATGTCTCTATCCAACTGAGAACTGTTGATATAAGTAGAGATGAGCGAATCGAACTCGGCGAAGTGGAATTCGTTTCGAATATTAGAAAAAATTTTGATTCGCGCCGAATCCGAAAATTAGCAGACTTCGGATGCTTGAATCGAAATTTTTCCAAAAATGGCGGCGACATGTGCGGCGACGGAGCAGGGATCTCTGGGAAGGCGCGCAGACAAGGCGCACTGACCCATAATGCATTCATTCATGACATGTGATCGCATTAGCCAATCAGCAGCCAGCCAGCCAGCACTGTGTAATGGTGGAGCTATAAATTGCGGCCATCTTACAATTCTCCATTTGCCTCTGGTCATTCAAGAGAGACAGATCTCTCTGTATTAGGGACACAGAATCGTTACTTAGGGACACAGAACTGTTACTTAGGGACACAGAACCGTTACTTAGGGACACAGAACAATTACTTAGGGACACAGAATCGTTACTTAGGGACACAGAACCGTTACTTAGGGACACAGAACCGTTACTTAGGGACACAGAACCGTTACTTAGGGACACACAATCGTTACTTAGGGACACAGAACCGTTACTTAGGGGACACAGAACCGTTACA